TCAGTTTACACAGCCCCTCTAAAATGCAAAGTTACAAAAAGCTAAGTTTAAACATCAGTTTACAGTTACACAGCCCCTCTAAAAAAAAACATCAGTTTACACAGCCCCTCTAAAAAGCTAAGTTTTTTGAAAAATTTTAGTCTGTACGTCTAAAATATAATTATATTTCTTTTTAGGCTTTTTGAACAAATGTCTATTCTATTATGTATTTATTTAAAATATGGACTTGCTAGAGATGGTTTTCCGTATCATATATTGTACTAGGTGGTCCATCTTCGTTACATAATTGCACTGATAGAAAGTCTTTGTAGTAACCTCTTTCAATCTTTTTGCATTAGGATTTTGATATTGTGTTGCCACAAGCATGTTGGTTGAGAAAGGCATTAGGCTTTGTCTCTGGTTTCGGTTTTAATTATTTGATAATAACTTTCGGCCGTTAAAACGAAAGAATATGTACTTATTTTCCAAATTTTTTGTTTTGAAGTTTAACACACAAAATTCTTAGATGTTGTGGATTATAGTTGATTTTAAAAACTGACATCGTTAAGAAGCCAATCCACCGAAATCTATTAAAGTTTTTAACCTATTGGAAGACAAATTAGATAAGTTCGACAAAATGACACATGACGTAGATATAGCAATGGGTTGGATAGTTTATTGGATGCAAACCTCATTAAAAATTAATAGTAATGCATTCTAAACATTAAAAAAAGTTATTATCATCCATGTTGTAGGTTGAAGAAACCATAGGCTGAGTGAAGTAAAAAAAAAAAGACACCAAAAAAGCGGAATTGTATGAAATTCCACCACAAATCTCTAAATGTCTTTCTATAAAACAAAGACTTCGTCAAAACTAGAAAACACCATGCAACTTTCTTTTGATGGACCACAAATATTTCAAGTGTCGTCTATTCTTAGAATGTTTGATTCAAACCTTTCTTCTTCATCACTCTATCTTTCTTTCTCTGCCATTTCATCCATCTTAATTTATCTTTGTTTTTGTTCCTCTTTAAACTTCCCATCCGTCTTCCTTGAGAGGGCGCGCCTCCTGTGCGCGTTCCCTACATTAGTCATGAAATCCACTTCTCTTATCCTCTTATTCATTGTATCCTTTTTATTCGTGACTTCTCATGGCTTATCAGAGATTGAATCTCTCTTGAAATTCAAGAAATCTCTTGTTATTGGGAGAGCAAGTGCTTTAGAGAGCTGGGATAGAAAGAATCCTCCGTGCAAATGGATTGGTGTGTTGTGTGATAAAGAGTATGTTTGGGGGCTACGACTAGAGAATATTGAGCTATCAGGTTCTCTCAACATCGAGGCATTGATGGGTTTGAAGTCTTTGAGGTCTCTTAGTTTCATGAATAATAAATTTAGAGGTCCATTTCCAGAGTTCAAGAAACTTGGTGCTCTAAAGTCAATTTACTTGTCAAACAATCAATTCGATATAAAGATACCAAATGATGCATTTGACGGGATGGGGTGGTTGAAGAAAATCTACCTCGAACAAAATAAGTTTAGCGGTGAAATTCCAATGTCCATGGCCAAACTTCCCAAGCTTTTAGAGCTTAGACTTGATGGGAACCGGTTCACTGGTCAAATACCTGAATTCATACATAAACCACACATGTTGAACCTTTCAAACAATGCATTAGCTGGTCCAATCCCAAATATTCTCAGTACAATGGATCAAACAATGTTTGAAGGTGCACCATTTGTTTCCTTTTATTTCAAAGACATGAAATTGTGTTTTTGTTCATTTGGTTCACTTAATGTCATGTTTGGCAGGAAACCAAGGATTATGTGGAGAACCTTTAGAGATAAAGTGTTATTCTCCTTACAACCTTTCCTCCGAGCCTAAGGCGAGCTCCAAAACAAAATCATCAAAGGTTTTGTACATTGTAGCCGCAGTGGTAGCATCGGTACTGGCAATACTCATAATTCTTGGACTAATTATCGTGCTTTGCCGAAGGCGAAGGAACAAGCAACCGTTACTATCACCAGAACCTGGACCATCAAGTCTACAAAAGAGAGCTGGAATCCAAGAAAGTGATAAAGGACAAAGTAGCTGCCATTCACACCGTGCTGCAAAGAGGATGATTCATACCACAAAATTGTCATTCTTAAGAGATGACAAGGGGAAATTTGAGTTGCAAGATTTATTGAAAGCATCTGCAGAGATTCTAGGAAGTGGGTGTTTCGGAGCATCGTATAAGACAGTGTTGTCGAATGGATCGATAATGGTAGTGAAGAGGTTTAAACACATGAATAATGCAGGATTTGAAGAGTTTCAAGAACAAATTACAAGAATTGGGAGGTTAAACCATGATAATTTGCTCCCAATTGTGGCTTACTACTATAAAAAGGAGGAAAAACTTTTTGTTTGTGATTTTATTGAGAAGGGAAGCTTGGCTGCTCATCTCCATGGTATTATTTGGTTTTTCTCCATTTACATATAGCAAATACTATACTAGCTCGTTTCTCATAAATTTTTATTTTGTGTGTATAAAGGTCATAAATCTTCAGGCTATCCAAGCTTGGATTGGCCAACAAGATTGAATATTGTGAAAGGTGTAGCAAGGGGACTTTTATACCTGCAGAAAAACCTGCCTAGTTTAATGGCACCTCATGGTCATCTAAAATCATCCAATGTTCTTCTCAGTGAGAAATTTGACCCTATTATGACAGACTATGGCTTGATCCCAATGATCAACGAAGAAAGCGCACAAGAGCTCATGGTGGCTTACAAATCTCCAGAGTACTTGAAACAAAGTCGTGTGACCAATAAAACTGATGTCTGGGGGCTCGGTGTACTCATCTTGGAGATTTTAACGGGAAAAGTCCCGGAGAGCTTCTCGCAAAGCGACAAAGAAAGTGAGGCGGACATGGCAAATTGGGTGAAGTCAAATTTCAAAGGAGAATGGTCAAAAGAATTGTTTGACCAAGAAATGGGGAAAACTAACAATTGTGAAGCAGAGATTCTCAAACTCTTAAAGATTGGACTGAGTTGTTGCGAAGTAGATGTGGAGAAAAGGTTAGATATAAGAGAGGTTGTCGAGATGTTGGAAGATTTAACGAAGGAGCGAGAAGGAGACGACGACTTCTACTCAACATATGCGAGTGAGGCTGATGGGAGGTCATCAAGGGGAGTGTCAAGTGAGGGAATTAACTTGTCATGAAGTGATACAAGCCATCTAATAATTTTTTGATGATAAGATTTGAATTTGAGAACAACATATTATCACACGACCGAAATTTGCTTGAAGTTTATGGATGGCGACACCCCAACCTATGAAAGCCCCATAGAGTCGAAAAAGGTTGGTTATTTGTTGGCGTGTGATGTTATTTTGAAAATCTATATGCGAGAAAAATTTAGAGAAAATGATTTTTCCTTCAAAAAAAGTATAGAGAAACTATTAAAAATGTTTATTAAATGTACTAAAAATTTTGTACTACATATGAACGTAGACTCACATGGAGGTTCATTTTTAGTTTCTAGAAACGTTCTCTAAATAATACGAAGATGCATGCTACAAAATAGTTTTATGTACATGACAAAAAGATGGATGCTACGTAATATTTTTACGTATATGAAAGGATATCCTCACAATATTACATTTACTTCTTTTTTGAAACTTTTTCATGGGTAAATTTGCGAGATAACCAATTTGGGCTATGTAATTAAGAAATAATCATGTAATGGTCGATAAGAAGAAGTATCCATTCATAAGCTTGGCTTCTTTTTTTACCTTCACGCCCGGCAAACTAGGTAAGAAGAGGTGAGAGTATGTGATGTCATGTGCAAGTTGTTCTTTCTCCCCGTGAGCCGCGACATGCTGAGCCTTCTAGTTACTAGTTTATTTAAAATGTAATTCCCTCCTCAACGGATTTGTGGCTAGAAACTCATGTTACATAAGGACAGTTTTATCCATATTAAACAATATATAGTATTGTGGGATTCCAAACTTCCACAACTAAATTCGATAAATTCTTTAAGGGGAACTGAGATTTCTACGAGCGAACCACAAGAACAGAGATTCAAAGATGGTTTTTATTGTTGTTTGATAAGCGTTTCCATACATAAAAAGTGCTAAGTAAATGATAAGTGTTTTGTTAGGTCAAGTTGTGGGCAGATTCACCGCCTAGGTGAGAATATCAAATTATATTCTCTTTGGGACTCACTTCCATTTTTTTGATTTGGCCGATCTTTACGCGATTTGTGTAACGCCCGTGAACAAAAAGTGAGAATTTTGGAAGGTTGATTTGAACCGGTTGGTTCGATTTAATCGCCGGTTTGGCTGGTTTGGGTTAAGAGAACCCTAGGGCTCGTGTTTAAAAGGGAGCAGCCTCTATTTTGTGCAGAGATAACGTGAAAAAGTTGAGAAATTGGAAGAGGAGAGAAAAGGAGAAGGAGATGAACCGCCGTGTTTATAAAGGAGATGATGACTGTTCTAGTCGTTCTAGAAGAATAGAATAAAAGACAGGCTATTTAGATCAGATTGGAGTGAAACTTCTAGGATAAGTTCTTCACTCTCATATATAGCTTTGGGCGAAATCGGTTTGTTAATTGGATTAGTATTCTGAGAGTTATGGTTGTTTTTCCGAGAGAGGTTCGTGTAGAATTGGATCTGCGATCAGTCTACTTCGTGGGAGTTTTCCTGTCGAACCAGAAGGAATTAGGAGGTGATTTATATACCGTTGGAAAGGCCTCGGTCTCATGATTCCAGATCATATTTCCGATCATGATCCGAGGTACACTCCGTTCTCAGAGTGCTTTCGAAGTCGGCTGGTTGTTTCTGTTTTCAGGAACCCTAATCCGATTTAGGAGAAACTCCAA